TCAAAAAAAGAGTATCGTAATCTGACCTAATGCTGTTTAATATCTGCAACAGTTGTTCGTTCTTTTCTTGAACGTCGTGATTTACTTGTTTCTCGTACTTTAAAATCTCGTTCTGGAATCATATCTTCTTCATGTTTAATAACAACTTCACGTCCATGTGTTAATAAATTTTTCATATCATTTAATACTTGATTAATTTGTTTAGTTATTCCTAATGATTGAATATTTGATTGTTGTTGATTTTCATTTTCTCTTGGAGTTGGTGTTGATGTTGCTCGACGATTTATTATATTTTCTGTTGTTTCATCCTGCTAAAAACTCGAAGAAATTCATATTTTTTTTTTATTATAACAGATCTATAGAGTTTACTGTATGTTCATTTAATGGAATAAAACGAATAGTTTCATGCGAATAACTCTTAGATAAACGATGTAATTCATCATCACTTGTTTCTTTGTCCTAAAAAATAAACAAACTTAGAGAAATAAAATTACAAAAAAAAATGGATTTTACTTTTTGAGATTTATTATGTTGACGTTGTAATGTATTTAAGTTAAATTGTACTTGACTAATTGCTTTTTTTTCATGTCCATCACGAATAACTATTTGTTTAAGTGTATCATTTTCAGTTTGAAATACTTCCAAAGAAAAAAGCGATTTATTTATTAATAAATTAGAAGAAAAAAACATTTTACATTGTCTTTCATGATTTAATTGGTCACTTTGGATTTGTTTTTCTTTTAATGTTATTTCAAATAATTGTTTCATTGATTGTAATTCTTGTTCATAACGTTTTATTGCTTCACGTTTTGTTTGTAATTCCTTTAGAAAAATAAAAAAATTTCAAAAAGATGAAAAAAAAATTTTCTTTTTTTACATTTATTAACATTTGATTTTCAGCTTTTAATGCTTCATATTTAATATGTAAATCTCTTGAATTTTGTTTATTTAAACTACATTCATGTTCTAATTGATTATTTGTATTTGTTATTTGAAGTAATTTTGAACGATAATCTTGTATTTCAATTTTTATTTTTTGATTTTCATTTAAAAGTTGTTCATTAAAATCTTTTAATTGTTCTTCATTTGTTTTATGATTAGCTACTTCTGTACTATGTTGTTTTATTATACCAGTCAACATATTTGTTTGAAGTAACAATGCTTGATATTTGTTACTTATATCATTATGAGCAGTTTCATATTGTTTATTCTGATTTATAAGATGACGAATACGATCAGATAAATGATTACTTTCTAAAATATGTGCATGATCTAAATCTTCATGAATTAAATCAAGTTGTTTTTCGAAATTTTCAAGATGAGAAATTTTTGATGAGACAATCGTTGACATTTCATCAAGAGTTAACTAGAAATAAAAGAAAAAAATTCCAAAAAAAGGAATAATTTTGTGATTCTTACATCAGATGAATTTTTTTCAGGTGAAATTAATGAAAACCAATGTTGTAATTCAGATCCAAAACGTTCACACTCAGTTAATTTAGGTAATGAAGATGCTAATTTTTGAGATAATTCTGTACATTCATTTCCTTTAGTTGTTATCGTTTGTTGTAAACGTTGAATTTGAAGCTAGATAGAACCATGCTTTGCAAAAGAAAAAACAAAATAAATTTTAGGTTTACTTGTAAATTTGATATCTGTGTAAGAAGATCATGATTTTCTTTTATTTTAATTTGATTATTTTGTTCTATTTGTTTATTACGTGCTTGTAATGTTTCGAAACTTTGTTGAAAATGTTCAATCTAAACGATAAATTAATATATATATATATATATGAAATCGAGTAAGAATCCTATTTTCGTGATCCAACAGGAAAATACAATCTTGAAAAGTTTCTATCAATTCATTCGCGCAGAAATTTATATGTAAATTTGTTTGTTTCAGACAAATCTTTTGAAACCCATGCATTATAATGTATATGAAAAGTTTTGTTTTAATCTCCTTAGTTTTTCAAAAAAAATGAGTAAATTTGAATGT